AGCAGAAATCAGATTTTTCTCATTCAGGCGAGTGGGTTGTTGAAACGGAGAACAAGGATGGCAACAAGGAGCAACACAGTTTTGAAGCTGTGATGATCTGTATTGGACATCACTGCAACCCCAATATGCCTCTTCATGACTTTCCAGGTAACCCTTGCCCTACAAGCTATCAACATTCAATTCAATGCCGGTTTGGGAGTGAGTGGATGAAGAAATGCTGTGGAAGTGAGCCAGAGATTAATAATAACTAATAATTAAATCCAGAGAGGTGTATTAACACATAGTAAGCAAAAAAGATGACTGACGAAGAAACACACAATGCATCGGTGGAATCCTTGAGCAGCCTAGACCTATTGCAGTATAACTAAGGGAGGATTTTGGGTCACCTGATCCACTATATACTTTATCAAAAGGAACGTTATTCTGACCTTATAGTTCACTCAAGGGACAGAACTAATCAACCTTCAAAAGAGCATGAGTGAAACTTTTGTGTCTTCAAATATAGATCAGTCTTTCTATAGCAAAAGTATTGAAAGACACTTATTTTCTTAAGGCATTGAAACTTTCACGGGGAAGTATTTCCACAGCAGAGACTACAAGACTCCCGAGGAGTGGAGGAATAAAAAGGTCGTGGTGATTGGAATTGGAAACTCTGGAGGAGACATAGCAGTGGAACTGAGTAGAGTCACCAAGCAGGTTGGAATGAGTTGGTCGCATCATTAGAGTAAGAATGTGTCTGAACTGTTTGAGTATTTAACATTCTTAGTGATGAAAATTATTTCACGTGAAGTTTCACAATTCTCACAGTTTTAGGCTGAATACAGTTTAAATACTACACAAGCAGTGACCTGTGACGCATGGATGTGGACATTAAAGAAGACATAACAGCAAAATTTGCTAATTTTTTCTTTTTTCCTTCTTTCAAGCTTTACCTGAGCACTCGAAGGGGATCATGGATTCTGAACAGAATGTGGGACAATGGGATTCCCGTTGACTTGTTTTTGAACAGGGTGACAGGTTTCCTAAGAAAAAATCTTCCCTTTGGTGTTTTATGTAGTCTGAGAGAGAGCCAGCTCAACAAAAGATTTGATCACGCTCTGTACAACCTGAAGCCAAGGCACAGGTACAGTATTCTACTAATACATTACATTTTACAATGTAATTTGTGTCTGGATTGTTTCATGTCTGAATTTGTTTTGTGTTTGACTTTTTAATTCAGG